ACCCACCCACCCACTCACTCCACTCACCCACCCACCCAACCACTCACTCACCCACCCACTCACTCACTCACCCAATCACTCACTCACCCACCCACCCACCCACTCACCCACCCACTCACCCACCCACTCACCCACCCACCCACTCACCCACCCACCCACCCACCCACCCACTCACTCACCCACCCACCCACTCACCCACCCACTCACTCACCCACTCACCCACCCACCCACTCACCCACTCACCCACCCACTCACCCACTCACCCACCCACTCACCCACCCACCCACCCACTCACCCACCCACCCACTCACCCACCCACCCACCCACCCTCATCGTGCTGGTAGTGCCGCCCCCCCTCGTGGAGATCTCTGCCTCCTGGTGGTGCACCACGTCGCGAAGCGCCATTCTCCTCCTCCACGCACTCCTCGTGGAGATCCCCACGGTGAGCTCCCACCACTCCGCCTCCTCCTCATCATCATCGCCGTCATCATCGTCGTCGTCATCGTCATCATCGTCGTCATCATCGTCGTCATCATAGTCGTGGTCATCGTCGTCATCATCATCGTCGTCATCGTCGTGGTCATCGTCGTCATCGCTGTGGTGGTTGTTGACACGGTCCACACCTTTAGCGACGTCACCGTCACCGTCATCATCATCATCGTCGTCATCGTCATCATCGCTGTGGTGGTTGTTGACACGGTCCACACCATCAGCGACGTCATCATCATCGTCATCGTCGTCATCGTCGTGGTCATCTTTGTGGTCGTCATCGTCTTCGTAGTCCTCATCCTCATCACGGCACTCCTCCTCATCATCGTCACCGTCACCGTCCTCCACCTCCACCGTCGATTTCTTGTGCAGCATCAAGGTGACAGTCGGAGCACTCAGCACGGCTGAGACACGGGGTGGGGGGGGTTACGGGTGGGGAGGGGTGAGGGAGACGTCATGTCACTCACCAGGTGAGGGAGACGTCATCTCACTCACCTGGTGAGGAGATGACGTCTCACTCACCAGGTGAGGAGATGACGTCATGTCACTCACCTGGTGAGGAGATGACGAACATCTCACTCACCTGGTGAGGAGATGACGTCTCACTCACCCCCCGAGCCTGAACAGACTGTTGGTGCAAGAGCAGCACACAGAGACACTCACACACAGACACACACACACAGAGACACTCACACACAGACACTCACACACACACAGAGACACTCACACAGAGCCTCACACACAAAGACACTCACACACAGACACACACACAGACACTCACACACAGACACACACACACACAGACACTCACACACAGACACTCACACACACACACAGACACTCACACACAGACACACACACACACAGACACTCACACACAGACACACACATACACAGAGACACTCACACAGAGCCTCACACACAAAGACACACACACAGAGACACACACACACAGACACACACACACACAGAGACACACATACACACAGAGAGACACACACAGACAGGAGACACAGACAGAGACACTCACACACATAGACACTCACACACAGACACACACACAGACAGAGACACACAGAGACACACACAGAGACACTCACACACACAGAGACACACATACACACAGAGACACACACACAGACAGAGACACAGACAGAGACACTCACACACAGAGACACTCACACACAGACACACACACAGACAGAGACACACAGAGACACACACAGAGACACTCACACACACACAGAGACACTCACACAAACACAGAGACACACACAGAGACACTCACACACACACACACAGAGACACACAGAGACACACATACACAGAGACACACACACAGACACACAGAGACAGAGACACACACACAGAGACACACACAGAGACACTCACACACACACACACAGAGACACACAGAGACAGAGACACACACAGAGAGAGAGACACAGACAATGCCACTTACTTGTCTTCAAGGGTAAGACCTCAACCACGACCCAGGGTGAGGATGATGGTGGTGTTGGTGGTGGTGATGAGACGGTGGATCTGACGCGAAGGTGATAGCGGTCGCCGGGATGTCGCAGCGCTGAGGAGACATCGCACCGTGTCTCTGTGGTGGCAGCGCAGACGGTCCGCCAGCGGGCTCGTCCATAGCTGCACAGAGACACGGGGAGGAGGAGGTGGTGAGGAGTGGGTGAGTGAGTGGGTGGGTGGGTGAGTGGGTGGGTGAGTCAGTGAGTGAGTGGGTGAGTGAGTGGGTGAGTGAGTGGGTGGGTGAGTGGGTGGATGAGTCAGTGAGTGAGTGGGTGAGTGAGTGGGTGAGTGAGTGGGTGGGTGAGTGAGCAAGCGGGTGAGTGGTCGAGTGAGTGGGTAAGTGGGTAAGTGGGTGAGTGAGTGGGTGAGTCAGTGAGTGAGTGGGTGGGTGAGTGAGTGGGTGAGTCAGTGAGTTAGTGGGTGGGTGGGTGAGTGGGTGAGTGACAGAGTGGGTGGGTGAGTAAGTGGGTGGGTAAGTGCGGTAGTCAGTGAGTGAGTGAGTGGGTGAGTGAGTGGGTAGTTGAGTGCGTTAGTCAGTGAGTAGGTGAGTCAGTGAGTGAGTGGGTGGGTGAGTGAGTTATTCAGTGAGTGAGTGGGTGAGTGAGTGGGTGGTTGAGTGTGTTAGTCAGTGAGTGAGTGGGTGAGTAAGTGGGTGGGTGAGGGCATTAGTCAGTGAGTGAGTGGGTGAGTGAGTGAGTGAGTGGGTGAGTGGGTAGTTGAGTGCGTTAGTCAGTGAGTGAGTGGGTGAGTCAGTGAGTGAGTGGGTGGGTGAGTTAGTCAGTGAGTGAGTGGGTGAGTGAGTGGGTGGTTGAGTGTGTTAGTCAGTGAGTGAGTGGGTGGGTGAGTGAGTGGGTGGTTGAGTGTGTGAGTGGGAGAGTGTGTGAGTGGGAGAGTGAGTGGGTGGGTGCGTGAGTGGGTGGGTGAGTGAGAGAGTGGGTGGGTGAGTAAGTGGGTGGGTGAGTGGATGGGTGGGTGAGTGGATGGGTGGGTGAGTGAGTGGATGGTTGAGTAAGTGGGTGGGTGAGCAAGTGGGTGAGTGGATGGATGGATGAGTGAGTGCGTGGGTGAGCGAGTGGGTGGGTGAGCGAGTGAGTGGGTGAGCGAGTGAGTGGGTGAGCGAGTGAGTGGATGGTTGAGTGAGTGGATGGGTGAGCGAGCGGGTGAGCGAGTGGGTGGGTGAGCGAGTGAGTGGATGGTTGAGTGAGTGGATGGGTGAGCGAGTGAGTGTATGGTTGAGTGAGTGTATGGTTGAGTGAGTGGGTGGGTGAGTGAGTGAGTGGGTGAGTGAGTGAGTGGGTGAGCGAATGAGTGAGTGGATGGTTGAGTGAGTGGATTGGTAGGTGAGTGAGCGAGTGAGTGGGTGGGCGAGTGAGTGGGTGGGCGAGTGAGTGGGTGGGTGAGTGAGTGGGTGGGTGAGCGAGTGAGCGAGCATCTCACAGTTTGCTGTCCACTCTGTAGGCAACGTCCAGGAGCTTTGAGCTGCTGCTGGTGGCGACGTCCACTTGAGCGTCGTGGTCCCAGCGGAGTTGCGTCAGCAGGTCGCGAGACTCCACGCGGACATTCAGAGGGGGAGTCGCAGCTGGGGAGATGGGCAGTGTGCGCTAACCACTGCACCACCGCTCCCCACACACAGTGCGCTAACCACTGCACCACCGCTCCCCACACTGCGCTAACCACTGCACCACCGCTCCCCACACACAGTGCGCTAACCACTGCACCACCGCTCCCCACACTGCGCTAACCACTGCACCACCGCTCCCCACACACACACAGTGCGCTAACCACTGCACCACCGCTCCCCACACACACACAGTGCGCTAACCACTGCACCACCGCTCCCCACACACACACAGTGCGCTAACCACTGCACCACCGCTCCCCACACACACACACAGTGCGCTAACCACTGCACCACCGCTCCCCACACACACACAGTGCGTTAACCACTGCACCACCGCTCCCCACACACACACACAGTGCGCTAACCACTGCACCACCGCTCCCCACACTGCGCTAACCACTGCACCACCGCTCCCCACACTGCGCTAACCACTGCACCACCACTCCCCACACACAGTGCGCTAACCACTGCACCACCGCTCCCCACGTCCACCACAACTTGGTACCCGATGTATCGACCACCTCCGGCTGTGCTCACCGTGTGTGCACGTGACGAGGTGGAGGTGGTGGAGGAGGAGGAGAGGAAGAGTAGGCCAAGTCTCGAGACGAGTTTCCTCGCCGCCATGACGCCCATCCGGGAGACGCGTTTTGCAGTTTCCCAAGTCACGTGGTGCAGAGAAATTCGATTCCCGATTCGATTAACTCTGCTCGCGTCGATTCTTAATGGGATAGCATTAGGAATCGATTACTGAAGATTAATGGATGTATAGAGTCGATTTCTATTGGGATAACATGGGAATCGATTTATAGTTGATTAAGCTATTGGAATCGATTTCCGTTGGGATAGCATGGGAATAGACTATCATGTGTGTGTGAGTCCATGTGTGTGTCTGTAAGTCGATGTCTGTGTGTGTAAGTTTGTATGTGTGTGTAAGTCGATGTCTGTGTGTACTTGTGTGTAAGTCGATGTCTGTGTGTACTTGTGTGTGTGAGAGTCCATGTGTGTGTATCTAAAGTCGATGTCTGTGTGTGTACGTTTATATGTGTGTGTAAGTCGATGTCTGTGTGTACTTGTGTGTGTGTGTGAGTCCATGTGTGTGTATCTAAAGTCGATGTATGTGTGTGTGTAAGTGTATATGTGTGTGTATAAGTTGATGTCTGTGTGTACTTGTGTGTGTGTGTGAGTCCATGTGTGTGTATCTAAAGTCGATGTCTGTGTGTACTTGTGTGTGTGTGAGTCCATGTGTGTGTATCTAAAGTCGATGTCTGTGTGTATAAGTTTGTATGTGTGTATAAGTTGATGTCTGTGTGTACTTGTGAAGTATTGGAATTGACGGCAGGAACTTCTTGACGGGTAACACACTTTTATTAAATCTTGACGTGTCACAATACAACGGGTGGTCTCTATCCTTTGGACTATACACTCCACTTAACTCGTGTAGACTCTATGTTTCTGACTACACCCAATACACTTGACTCGTGTAGACCCTATGCCTCTGGCTACACACAATACACTTGACTCGTGTAGACCCTATGCCTCTTGCTATACACAATACACTTGACTCGTGTAGACCTTATGCCTCTGGCTACACACAATACATTCGGCTCGTGTAGACTCTATGCCTATGGCTACACACACTGCACTCGCCTCTGGGTTACACAGAGTCCCGGTCCCGTTAGGACAGCGGGACTAGGTACCGCAGGGCCCTAGGTCTTCATCCCCGTCTTCATTCTTCGCTGGTTACATACTGCCCTTACGCCTGTGTGCATCCCCTTTTATAGCCCCTGCTCACGAGAGACGGAGCTGATGCGGACGTCGATGTGAGCATCGCTCCTTAGTGGACCAATCACGACGCACTCTCTCTACGATCCGTTTTCCCCAGCGCGTGTTAACACTCCTCCACCAATCACACCGCGCTGCCACCCGGTCACTCCCTCTCAGCGCGTCACCGGCCCACAGCCAATCATTACCCCGTAACCCACGACCCCGCGCTGACCCCTGATCCTCCACCGTCAGCGCGCGTCACCACATACACAGCCAATCATTACGCGCTGGCATACGATCCCTAATCCCAGCGCGTATCACCACTACATCACCCCCTCCCACATAGCTTGCAGCCGGCCCGGCTGTTAACCAACAACACAACCCAACGTCAACGCAATAATAAAAAAAAGAACCCCACCCCCCAGTGTGCCCCGTAACGCAACAACGACAACACAACAACAACACTTAAATAAGAAGCAATATACAGCCCGACGAACAACACAATAAAAGCGAACTCCAGAAACCGAACGCGCCAAGTGTATCTGTGACTAAACGCAGTGACGAGGCGCTCCGGCTGCCTCGACTCCTCACGTGGTAGGTCATAAAAAGTAGCGCGACCTAGCGCGAGTCCGTCTGGCCGGTCCGTCGTATGGGACGGGACGCTGGCGACCGTCCGGTGGCTCCGGCAGCTCTAGACGGCGCGGATCGGGCCCGGAAGGACCGGCCCCGCCGCGAAGATCCGACCGCCGATGGTCGGCAGCTGTCAGTTCCGAGACACCTGGGAGCGGATCAGGCGGAGACATGTGAGGATCAGGCAAAGACATTTCCCCCTTAGGGTCGTCGGTCACGTCACATGCTCGGCCCTCACGACACAAGGGGAGGCCATGTGGAGGCGAGAACGGTTTCAGTCGGGAGGGGTGGACGTACCAACGGCGTTTTCCCCATTTTATCTGAACGCACTGGGGGCGTGCAATCCGCACGACCTCCACGGGTCCCCGCCATGGCTTCAACAATTTAGGCGACGTAGCCAAAGGTGCCTGTGGGCAATGCAGCCAGGCCCTGTCACCTGGTTCCCAGTTGTGCACGGACACCTTTCGTGCACGCAACCGCTCGTTTGCAATTTGGCGAGCCCGCGAATTAAGCCGTGCGGCCTCCCTCGCCTCTGTCAGCTTATGAATATTAAATTTAATATGCTCTGCCAATTTTGAATTAGTTCGTGGTGCGGGCAGGCCCAGCTGCGTTTCCATGGGCGGGTCGGCCTCCCGACCGTACATCATATAGAACGGGGAAAATCCCGTAGCTGCATGGGGGGCCATTCTATACGCGGCGAGGACCCCAGGGACCTGCAGGTCCCAATCAACATGTGCCTCACACACCTGCTGGCACAGCATAGAAGTCAATGTCCTGTGGAGTCTCTCCACCATCCCGTCCGTCTGCGGGTGGTACGGGGAGGTACGCACCTTCTTAGTACCTAACAGGTCGCACACCTCTTGCAGTAATTTACTCGAAAAATTTTTCCCTTGGTCGGTCAGCAAGCGTTCGGGAGCCCCCTTGTCCAGGACGTAGCCCTGGACAAAGGCGTCCGTCACAGCCGCCGCCGACTGGTTGGCGAGTGGCCACGCCATAGGCCACCGGGTAAAATATTCGACCCCCACCAACAGGTACTTATTACCTCTAGGCGTGACTGGAAAAGGCCCCAGAATATCGAGTGCAACGAGCTCGTTAGTGCGCGAGACCTGAATAGATTTCAGCGGTGGATTAGCTGCCACAGGCGGTGGTTTTCGTCTGGCGCACTCAACACAACCCTTCAGAATATTCACCACGTCACTCCCCATTCCCGGCCAATAATAGTCACGCTGAAGCAGGGCAAGCGTTTTGTTAACTCCCAAATGCAAGAGGCGTTCGTGTGCGGCCAAGACAACTTTCCCCCTCACAGCAGAAGGCACCACAATCGCGTGCCGCCGGGACAAACTGTCCCATCTCATTAACAGGCCTTGCTTAAGTACGTAGGAGCCAGTTCGTTCATGGTCACCTTCGGAACCCCCCGTCCTGCGGCACAATGCTAGCAGGGAGCTGTCCGCCATTTGGAGACGGCCCCACTCAATCAGCGACAATGAGAGCAGCGAGTCCTGACCCCCAGGGGTAGCGGGACCATCCCCAATTGGTGTGCCCGCGGTCGCAACCAATGCGCCCTCGCCTTCCGTAACTGGCGGTCTACAGCGCGCCGATCCCGATAAGCACGCACATTTGTGACAAGGCAACAATCGCGACAGAGCATCAGCATTTGTGTGTCGCGCGCACAGCGAATCGACCCATTCGAGGTCCTCCTTCGGATTAACGTTTTGCGTGGGGCTCGGATCAGCCTGCGCAACCAGCCGCTCTTCCGCAGGGACCCGTGCCGCGTGAGCTAGCACGGTGCCCTGCTGAATGACGGCCGGCCGCGACCCAGCGTTTAAACCCCTGACAAACGGATCCCTGTCAGCCCCAACCAAAGTGTGAGCCACCGACAAATCGAGACCTCCAACAGCCCTATTAGAAGGACCCAAAAGCGTGCCTTGATCCGAGGTCTCCCTCACCCATGGTTTCCGCAACCGGAGGGGAATTAACATTTGTGAACCCAGGGGCACGTGCACGGTCTGTGTTGCTAACACTTGTATCGTAGCGCACGCTGTCCGAATTTCAGTAGGGTTCGTCAAAAATGAAATACGGCGACCCGATGGTAGTTCAATGCAACGCTGATCAACGAGAATTTTGATGGGCATTTTTGCCAAAAAATCAGTGCCCAATAGACAAGGAACCGCCAGGGAGGACGAAACGAAAACGGGTCCCGACAATTTGATATCCCCAATGCAAATAGACGCCCTAATCTGACCGATAATGCCCAACGATCCCCCATTAGCGGCGTAAAATGGCACATCCACTGGAAGCAGCGGACGACATTGTACAGGGAGAATGTTGTAAATGAGATCCGATATAATAGTCGCCGATGCCCCCGTGTCCACTAACACCCTGACCTCGACCCCATCAATAGATCCCGTAACGACGGATGAACCCGCTCTGGCAGCCACTATTCTGTGCCCCAACTCCGACCATTTAATGTCTCCCCGGACCCGGCCGAACCCCCCTCGCCGAACCGAATCCCCGAACCCTAACCGGCTCTCCTCCGCCGCAACGCGACGGACCATGCATGTCGAGTATGCGGGCCGAGCATGTGAGGTGCCGCGACTCGCCGGGGTTTGTAGGGATGACTTGGGGCCTTGTTCGTCGTCCAGCCGAGGTCCCATGGCGCGCTGACGTGGGGCGCGGCAGCCGGACGCCACGTGGCCCCGGAGGCCGCAGTTATAACACGTGATGAGGGTCGTCGGAGATCTCGGTTGCTCCAGCTTGCGGGCCGATCGCAGAGGCGAACGACCCCCCGACCTCCAGTCCCCCGGTCGTCCCGCGGTGAACGCCTCCTCTCGTGGGCTGACGACTTGGGGTTCGGTGACTACCGGGCCCGGAGCCGAGGCCACGGCAGCGTTGCAGACGACCACCTGTTTACGTTGAAGGACCTCGTGCGCTTGTATACTTGTAGCGACCCGCAAGGAAGAAATATCGATCTCGTCGGCCGTGTTGATGGGGACCCCCAGGTCCTGTGCCAACTTGAGCAGTTGCTCCAAAACCATCGCATCTTTGCCCTCCTCGTCCATACGAGGGAACGCGGCGTCGGCGAGAGCCAGCAACGCCGTGCGATAGGCAAGCACGGTCTCCGTGTCCGCCTTCCGCCTTGCATAAAATTGATGGCGACACGCCGAGGGAGGACCGTAGATCTTGGCCATGAGAGCCAGCGCATCCTTGAGCGTGGAGC